TCGTAAAAAAAGGAAAGCCTTCAAGGATTTCTACTCTGCTTTTGTAGGTGTTTTGTACGACAGTATGGAGCAGTGAAGGTGGCTGAAGCAGGAATTCACCTCAATGGACAACTTAGCCTTGGTGAGAACATAGCAGACAATGGAGGCGTAAAAACTGCATTCAATGTAGGAAATTCTTTGTGGAAATAGATTGGTAGAAAAATCATGTCTCGTTGCAGGCATATAGAGCTTGGCGAGCTAACACTTCAGCCGAAGAGCCAGCTCTTCCGGGTTTCCAGAATTTTACAAGTGAACAGATGTTCTTCCTTGCTTATGCTAATGTGAGTTTCCTCTCTTTACGAAATGATAACTTTTGTATGCTCCGAGCCTCGAATATACTACGATTTTTTTGATCAATGTGCGATTAGTGTCACACTGATTATCATATGTAGAGTACGGGCAGAAATATTTCCGTCGTAGCCTTCTCAGACCTTTCCAAAGTTGTTTGCTTCTAAGCTCATATTCGTATCCGAATATGAGCTTAGAAGCAAATAACTTTGAAAAAATCAAGTGTTATCATACAATAAATGCGAGAACAGAAGTCCGATAAGCTGCGCACTGATTTTGTCAACATTTGCTCTTACAGGCACTGTCCTGGCAGATTTTCGTTTTCCAGTTTTTCACATTTCCTTGGCCTTCTCGCCATGAGGACCCATATCTGGGCTCTTGGGCGCATGGAAATGGCGAAAATGAATCCTTTTTCAAATCGAGAATCCTTTTTCAAAGGATTTCCACGTCCGCATTCAGTGGAAAATGCTTGTAAGTGGGCGGAGTGCGAAACAACACTTCCGGGGTATTTTCACTGAATGCGGACCTGGAAAGCGTTTAATAAGGTTCATTTTCGTCATTTTCATGCGCGGAAAAGCCAAGATTTGGTTTCCTCATGGCGAGAAGGCCCCGAAAATACGAAGAACTGAAAAACAAAATTCTGCCGGTACTCTGCCTTTAAGGCATCCAAGCGAATGGGAAAGGTTTTCCTTTGAAGGGTATGGGGAAGGGGGATGCACTGAC